ATGCAATCAAGACGCTGCTGGAATAAAAGACTGTCCCTGAATTACCAGAAGGGGTGGTTTAGCTGTGTGACAAAGATTAGAATTGCATGGTCTCTTTGAAGGAACAGGATGTGGTCTTTTGCATGCCACTGCTGAGAGGCGTGGGAGAGATGTGCAGGATCAGGAAGGTACCACAGATTGGCAGTGAGCAACATGCCAAAGAAGATTATAAAATTATAGATGACGTGAGAAGAGGGAAGGAGCTAAAAACTGCTTCCTTTAAAAAGCTAAATGCTCATACAGGAACCAAGTGTGAAAAGGAAGAGGAGAGTCAGAAACAAAGGATGCAAATGGCACCTCTGAGGATCTGCCTCAGGCACCAGACAGAGAGAAGAGGAAAGGAGTGAAGATTCACTGAGTTTTCTCTTTGGGGGTTATGGTGACATACAACACACAGGAGATGAAGAAGAATGAAAATGTTATGCCCAGGACTCTTTTGAAACAACCCTGACTGTTCTACTGCTGAAACCCTTTGCTGACACCACACACGTCCCTGACACACAGCCAACTCCAAGCTCATGTCTCCTGAGCTCAACAACTCCCTGCTGCAGTGCGTGGTAGGAAGCGCAGGAATCCTGTTTTATATATAACCAGATGAAGCAACGTCAGTATTTCACTTCAGAGTTTTTGAATTTTTGTTGAGATTATTTAACACTTCTACTTATTCTTTTAGATTAAATTCTAACAAAATATTAAATTAAAAAATATGTCGGAGTCATGTTATGGAAATGTGGAAAGAAATGCAACCTTCGAAGAATGATTTGGGTTGGAAGGGACCTCAAAGATCAACTCATTCCAACCCTCCCTGCCATGGGCAGGGACACCTTCCACTAGATTTGTAACAGGAGGATTGTGACAGGAAGCAAATGGGTTTGAGCATTTCCGTGCATTGGCTGGAAATAGGCATGGAATGGTGAAAATGAAAAGTGGACTCCAGCCAGGTCCCAGGAAGCAGGAACCCACTTACCTCCTATACAAACACAGAGAAGCCCACAAAGGAAATTATCTGTTATTAATGCTTGTTTCTTCCTGGCAGAAGCAAAAGTTCAGCTTATGACCAACCTTTTGGACGTGAAGAACTAGCAGTTTTTATGTGCCTAAATGATTAAGAATAACTGTAACACCTTCTTTTTGGTTTTGTTTTTTGTAGTTTTTTCTTTTAATTGTGCAGTCAAGTTCCCTGTGTATAATGTGCATTATGTCCATCCCATACAGTGCAGTGCCATGTGGATACTGGTGCTGATACAAAGAAGCTCCTGTCGACTAACAGACAAGACTGGGTGTTTTGATGGAAATAATTCTTAGTGTTTTGCCTATTCCATACTCCTGTTAAACCAGCGATTGGTTTTTGCAGGTAGTATCCTTGGAGTATAAGCTCACAGAGCTGGCAATTGGGAAAAAATTAATTCTAAGAATTTAAATTTTCCTAGGTTTTCCCTATCAAAAATACCTGTAATTTATCAATTAGTTGGACCTGTTTTTATACTGTGACAATTCTGCTTTTAAAAACCTGATCTTCAGTCTCTCTGCAGACCGAAAAATTAAAATGTCTTTAATCCATCCAATCTGACAAATATTAAAGGTTTGATAAACAGACAAAAATCAGCATTACAGGTAATTTATATTCCTAGTTAGCACTTTGTCCTGGGGTGGGTGATCCCTGTTTACTCACACAGATGCTACAGGAATCACAGTGTGTTATGGTACACCATAAATTCAAGACAAGGCAAAGCTGCAAAATGTTTGTGTTAGATTTCTTGCACTTTATTTTTTTTTTTCTGAGACGTTCTTAAATGCACTAATTAAGTGAAGCAATTGCTAAACTCAGTCTCTTTTTTCAGTGTAGTACAGAAATATTGCTGCACTCTCCTGGCTCAGATCTGCCCTCATCTAACATGTGGTGCTTTTTTATTGTTATTTGGGTTAGGGTATAACCCTGAACACTCTGTCCCTCCCAGTCAGGTGTGCTCGAACCAGGTCACGAGTTTGGTGCACCCAGCACGCTGTTAATAAAGTGGTTTTTTTCACTTTATTTGGCCGTCTTCTAAATTTTAATTAGAGATATTTCTCACACCAGGTAGGGATATAATATTCTGGATATAAACATGGACCTCCCCACTGCTGCTCATTGTTCCATGAGGTGTGTTTGGTGGAGTTATTACTCTTTTAGAGGGGGGGGCATTAAAGAAGACCCGATAGCAATGCATTCAAAATTGAACACAGGCAGCCTGGAGTGACAGTAGATGGCAATAAAACATTAGTGAAGGATCCAAAGGCAGTGTTCAGGCAACACCTCACCACCAGCTGCAGTTCTGCATTCCGTAAATTGGGACTGTGGTGTTTCACAGAATCACAGACTCCTTAGAGTTGGAAGGAACCCCTGGAGATCATCCAGTCCAACACCTCTGCCAAGGCAGGGACACCTGGAGCAGGTGACACAGGTGGGTTTGGGATGTCTCCAGACAGGGATACTCCATGCCCTCCCTGGGCAGCTGTTCCAGGGCTCTGCCACCCTCAGTGTAAATAAGTTCTTCCTTATGTTGAGGTGGAACTTCTTGTGTTCTAGTTTATGGCCATTGCTCCCCATCCTGTCCCTGGGCACCACTGAAAAGAGCTTGGCACCATCCTCTTGATGGTGGTTGCAGGTGATATCTTTATTGACTCTGAATAAAGGAATTAATTCACGATCCAGTACAATCCCCATGGTCTGGTGTGGGCTCTGGCAATGACTGTGCATTTGATTTATTGCAGTTAGGCAGCCCCTAGGAGGAGGGGTGACGTACAGTTATTGCAAAAAACATTCAATTCCAGAAAGGCTATTTTTCTACAAAAAAAAAACATTTTCTTGATGAGGTTTCAGAGACAAAAGTGTTCTGACAGCTTGGTCACCGAGCCTTTGTGTTCTCATAGCTTGATTTCCTAAATATCTGTATCTGACATCCTGTAAATACCCACTGCTGCAACAGTGCCGATCCCTGCAAATTCTCTTCAACACAAGGACATGGTTTCCCAGAACTTCTCCATACTGTGATACCCTTTCTAACCTTACACCCCAAAGCAATTACCTGTGCTGTCAAGTGCCCAGCAACTGGAAGATAGAATCATAGAATCACAGAGTGGCTTGAGTTGGAAGGGACCTTAAAGATCACCTCGTTCCAACCCCCTGCCATGGGCAGGGACACCTTCCACTAGACCAGGTAGGCAGAGCAATGTGCAGAGATGGACAAAAGAGCAGCCATCTCATTTTCTTGGCAAATGTGATTAAAAGATGGCAATAAATCATAGAGAATCGGGCTTTTCAATAAATTGATCATTCAGTGTTTCTTTTTGCTATGAGTCTTGCACTGTCTCTGTAGTCTGTGTAGGCCTCAAGCTGAGCATGAGTCAGAGGATTCTTCTCAACATTTTGTTGGTTGTCCTCTTACAGCACAGAGATGAAGATCCTACCTGTGTCTGATGGATCTGCTGGTTTCTGCAGAGGGATATGAAAGCAGTGATGATATCTCTGGGCTGGATCTTTCTGCCAAGTAATTTCTATTAACTTCTGTCATCGCTGAAAAAAAAAAAATTCCAACAGCTATCCAAAAGAGCCCTTAATTGGAAAGATTTTGAAGATGGTGTTCACCGTGAAGGCTAAAGGAGTCAAAGTAGAACAGCAGGTCAGGAAGGAAGACAGTAAATACATGGCAGCTACAGTGAAATGCTATCCATCTACCTTCTGTGAATAGAAGGATAATCAAACCGAATTACAGGCTCAGATGACTTTGTCACTTTTCCCTCAACACTGAATGCCTTGAAAAGCCCTTCAGCAAATGCCATCAGAAGTAATATGATGCTGCTTACTAGAAAAAGCTGTTGAAATGTAGTAATTATGAAGAAAACGTGGCTCCAGCGCAGAAGCCCATATATCAAATGGGGTTTACAGCTTCATTAGGACTAAGCAATACTGTCAAGGGCACCTTGATATACTTAATCCCAAACTTTGCCCCTGAGGCAGAACAGACAAATACACAAGTGCACAGTTGTGAGAATCACATATTTTAACTTGGAGCAGCCTAAGCAGTGAAGGAAATGTAACACAGCAGATGAAGAATGAGTAGCAACTGAGCCCAAACAGTACAAATTATACTTCCAAATGGCTAAGAATCTGACTTTTTATGTTATTTGATATTAGGATCAGTATTCTTATTTTCCTAGCCCACCTTGAACCCTTCCAGTTAATCATAAACCTTTTGCTTCTTGTCTTCTGTGTTACTTGCAAATAAAGCGTTTTCCAAATATCTGCAAAACTCTATCTGAATATTCCCTAAGCCTGATGACGTGTCTGATGCCTTCATTCAGCCCCCACCAGGGGTGGGACTCTCTTTGAAATGTGGTGAGGGTTCTGTCCACACTTTGCAGTACACCCACTGCGGCTACGCTGTGCCAAAACACGCTGCATCACAGAACTCACTTTTCCCAGTACACCATTCTGGCGAAGAATGGCAGTATTTTATAGTTTCCGGGAGGGTTCAGCTGCAAAGGAAGACAGAGATACAGATAATTCTGGCACTGCAAGCTGGCCTGCTTGTCAGTAATGGCCTTTGGTTGTGCTGTCACCTCTTACCCCGTCAGATGATTTGTTTACTCCTGTTACATTAGAAGTGTTTGAGGACCATTTCCAAATCCTTTGGGTTTTCCTTTTGCTCAAAGAGCCTGTGGGAGTTTATTCTTATGGTGACTCCAAACACCTACCAACACTTATTTCTCTTGGGATCACTGCAATGTCACTGCTGAAGTGGCAGCTGCATTTGGTAGGGCAATTTTCTCATCATCTCCATTTAAATGGCAGTACTATCTCTAAGCTACAGTAAATATAGGAGTTGTAATGGGGTGGGTGCTTTACAAATGCAATGAAAAGACAGCCTACTGTTCAAAGAGCAAAATGTTTAAATTAATTAAACAGATAAGTCATAGGGATCATAAAAATCTGGTTTGAGTTTTTTATTTTCATAGTATGAAATTAAACTTCCTGTGAAGGACAATTTCCCCAAATCTTGCTTTAATCCATTCTTCTTGTTGACGTGAATACTGAGTGGAGTCCCCACAGAAACGGGCTCAGATTATCACTTTTCTTTGTTGCTGCTATAGAGCTAAATTTACATTTCTAAATCTGCTAGGAAGGTGTGACAACTGGTTTCCAAGCAGTAGCTGCAATATAGAAAAGAGGAAGATAGAGAAGGAGGAAAGTGAATACACTGGGTTTGATTTCTCTTATTTTTTATATATAAGTAAATCCAATAATCTATCCATTAATTATTCCTGATATATGCTGATGTAAGTGAAAGGATTCAGATTCTCCAGTCAAAACATTTGTTCTTTTAGATCCAGGAAAATATAAAATTCAAAAAGTCTGTTATAATACCAAGAATAAGCCACTCTCCACCTCTACAGTCTCCATTTTATTGCTGCTGGTTGTGAAGAATCTCTGATCACAAGAATGTAGATGAGGAAAAGGAATGGTTTTCAAATTCTGTTTTGGTTGGCTGGATGATTTCAGGCTGAAAAGAACATTAAATATACTTACAATGTGCACAGCCCATGTACAGACAGATATAGCTTATATTCCTGAGTACAAATAATACCTACAAAATATACTAGGTATGCAACTGAGCCAGTCATAGCTTGTGCTGTGCACTACTTAATTGGTGGGAAAAAAAAAGAAGTTTTTGGAAAAGCCGTTTCACCACTGTCTTCAGCTCGATCATATGGAACAGGCCTTTCCATTTGGTTTTCCAAATATTTCTCCGGGATAACATGCTTCCTGGTGTTCTGCACATCACTTTCTCTTGTGTCTGTGAAGGGAGTCAGTCTTTCTGCCAGTTCACTTTCCACTTGATCAGATGGATCTTCCCAGATATTCTCTGCAATAAAAAAAACCAAACAAATAAAAGGATAGGGTAAGACTGCAGACTCTTAAAAAACATGATTGATACAAATTCACAACAAATCAGGTGGAAATTTTCCTTGGTATCTTAAAACCCCTATTGATGCATTCTTTTGCCTGGAAGTGAAATACACTACAGTGTGATGTCAGATACCATAAGTATTTTGCTCTCAGTAAGTAAAAGGTGGATCTTTAGCACTTCCAGCCTTCTTGTTGGCAGTTGCTCTAAAACATCTGGAATGCAGCTCTACACAAGTGAGAAATAGGGCCTTCACCCACCACATTTCAGTCACCATCCATTATCACCTCATTTAACAGATGATACCAAATGCAAGGCAATCCCAAACACTGATATAAATGCGCTTAGTTCTCCAGGAAGAACATGCTTACGAATATTCTCCTTTTTCTTTTCTGCTGCGGAGAAAGAGCCATCACTCAGTTTCCTCAAGGTCTGTGTTTTCTGCTTTGCTCGGTATATTTTTGGTTCCTGGATCCAGGAATGTTTCATTGCTTCATCGGGGGTCATGCGCAGGGCGGGTTCCCACCTTCAATCCGTGGCAGAGAAATAGTTATTGAACGATTTCTAACTGAAAATTAGTTTAAGCTAGAAGATTCAGTCTTGTCTTCTGGAAGTCTGGTCATGAGGGCATTTAATGAAACAAAATAATACTGAAAACAAGGAAAAACCTTATATGATCTTCTCCATCCCTCAAAACTTACTTCAGTGCTGTGTGCTTTGCTGATCAAACCCTCTGCAGCATCAAACCATTTTTAATATGCAGTGTTATTAGGGTAGGGACCCAAAATTACCTGTTTGAGGTTTGGTTTTTTGCTTCACTAAAGTTATTTTCTAAACTCTCTGATTCAGCTAGCAAACCAAAATGGATCAGTGATTCATAGAGACGTAGCAAACTGAGAACATTAAAAGCAACCTTCTTGTGAAACAGAGTGGGATGATCTTTTCCCCCATGTAACCACAAGTTGGCAGTTTCTTTAGGATTTCTTTAGGGAAGTGCTACTGAACTGCTGAAAGAAACTTAAAGCCAGTGCTAAAGAAGACATAAAATATTAACCTTGCATAAGTGCCAGGTAACACTAGAAAATATATGGGACCATATGGGGTGGAGGCATGGCTGAGTATACTCTGCCTTTTTATCCTCGGCTAAGGGGAAGACATACAGTGTATTGGAACTAAAAAGAGCCTCGTCTCACCCAGGTGAACCTGATGCGGGATCTTTGTGAGAATATGTTCAAAGAAGAGCTGTTTTCATACATATACCACAGTGTATCACTGCCATTTCCAAGGCTTAGCACAGAAAATCCAGTCAAAACCAGCTAAATCAGCACCAAATATAATTCATACTGGAGGAAGTGTGAAGACTTTCTTCCTGCTGGTGCAGGAGTTAGATTTAAGTACAAAGCCAGACTTTGATCTCCAGATACACACTGTCTTGGGCCAGTGCATTGCCATTATCTGTGTTATCTAGATACACCTTTATCTAATAAAACACAAAGGATTTAAAACAAAGGCCTCAGTGGATAAACAGCATTGCTTTTAGAGTTTAGTCTCCAGCATCAGAAGATGATCTGCTTTTAAGTGTGATGATGTTTTGTTTCACAGCCCCAGGTTGAACAGGGCTTTAAGCAACCTAGGATAGTGAAAGGTGTCCCTGCCCATGGCAGGGGGGTTGGAATGAGATGATCTTTAAGGTCCCTTCCAACCCAAACCATGCTGTGAGTCTATGATTGCATGTCAGGTTTCTTTCATACTTTAATCTAATCCAGTATATCTTTCTGTGCAATAATTTGCAATGAACTGTGAATAATAATGGATATACAAGCACTACTATATGGGAAATGAAATGAAATAAAACAAACTAGAAACAAAAACACTCCACCAAAAAAAAAAAAAAAAAAAAAAAAAAAAAAAACAAAAACCAAAAAAACCCCCAAAACCCAAAAAACACCACCCCAAGAGATACAAAGATTTTTAAGGTACAAGAGAATGAAAGCAAAGTTAAAACTAGCCTGTTTCACATCGTATGAACTCACATTAGGCATCCTTTCAGGAAGTCCAAGAAACCAGCATCGTGGGTTTTCAGCACTGTGCTTAGATCCTTGGAGTCTGGGCATCTCTTTTTTCCCTTGCTGTTAGTGACGGATTTAGGAAAACCTTTGGAATCTTAAAAAAAATAAAGACATGCTCAAATAAATTACAATAAAAATCCTCTCTAAATGTTTAAAGGAGTTGCAAAAACAGTATCCATATCCATCCCAATAAGTTTTTTCCTGTTGGATTGATAGTCTGCCAGCATTGTGGCAAACAGTATTGGTTACATTCTGGGGACTTCATCCTACACTTTGCTGCTTTGTTTGTTTCGTGCAATTTCCAAACCCAAATTATACACAGAGGAACGAACAACATAAATAAGTTCCCAAAGCCCACTTTTAACAACAATATTTTTAAAGAGTATGACTGGAATGGATCTCCCAATCCCTTCCCTATCACCTTGGCAATTAGAGGCCCAGCAGACTTGAAGAGCACAGCATCAGGTTCATTCGTAGGCCTCATGATACCTTTTTGCTTCTCCTCAATACCCCTTCCTGAAAGAGTTTTAATCAGCTAAGAAGTAGCAGAGGGTCTCTGGCCCTGCTCTCTGTCAGTGCTATTAACCAGTGATTAATTAGCAGGGAGGGATCCAGCAAGGACAAACAATCAGAAGCAATTACCAAAGAATGTTCGCTTCCTTGACGAAGCCTGAATCAAATCAGCTGGTGGAAGACCCAGTACCTTCAACACAGAAAATGAATTCACAGAGTTACTCCTCATTTAATAAAGATACTAAAAAACCATCAGGTGAGATGTGGTATTTTACCAGTCTTATGAAAAGAAGTTGAACGTCTCAACTGACTGTGAAATGTCTACAAAACATTTCCTCTTGTGCCATTTTTGTGGAAGGAATTAAGGGATTTCTCAATGCTGTCTGTACATATCTTTATATCAGAAATAGCAGGACCAGGGCAGTGATTGTCCCCCTCTACTGAGTACTGGTGAGGCCACACTTTAAGTCCTCTGTCCAGTTTTGGGCCCCTCACTGCATGAAAGACATTGAGGGGCTGGAGCATGTCCAGAGAAGGGAGTGGAGCTGGGGAAGGGTCTGGAGAGTCAGTCCTATGAGAACAAGCTGAGGGAGCTGGGGATCTTTAACCTGGAGAAAAGGAGGCTCAGGGGAGACCTTCTCACTCTTTACAACTCCCTGACAGGAGGTTGTAGCCAGGTGGGGGTTGGGCTCTGCTCCCAGGGAACAAGGGACAGGACAAGAGGAAATGGCCTCAAGCTGCACCAGGGGAGGTTCGGGTTGGACATCAGGAAGAATTTCTTCATGGAGAGGTTGTCCAGCATTGGAAGGGGCTGCCCAGGGAGGTGATGGAGTCCCCATCCCTGGAGGTGATCGAGAAACAACTGGAAGTGACACTCAGTGCTCTGGTCTAGTTGACAAGATGGCGACTGCACAAACGTTGGATTCAATGACCTTGGAGGTCTTTTCCAACCTTAATGATTCAGTGATTCTATGATCTTATAAATGATGACACTGGGATCTTCACCACCACAGAAGGCTCTAAGAACAAACATCTCTCTTGGTGCCAACTGCAGTAGCAGGCCACATGGAGAGATGCTGCCTTTGAAAACACTTGTACAAACTAAGTGTCACTAGAAGGATGAGACCTTGGCGCTGAGTTCCACATCAGGCTGCAGTTTAGGGATTCATATGGAGTAACTAAGTAACTTGTTTTCGTGGGTAGTTTTGCACCCATTCTAGCATTTGCGCTGTGTAGGTGATCCGAGGTAGGAAATGTCACAGTACATTCTTAAAACTCTTTGAAAACATTTACAAAAAATGATAGAGCCAAACTCCTTGGTAGTTTCAGACAATATAAGGTGCAACAGCCACAAACTGTGACTTGAGAAGTGAAGAATGGCTATTAGGAAACAGTTTTTCCACCAGGAGAGTAGAGCAGCAGTTGTGCTGGTCACCCAGCGTGTTTATACTCGAGGCTTTGAGGTTTTCAAGGTTTACTAGTCAGAGCCACAGCTGACTGCTCAACTGCTAGTAAAAATCTCTCTCAGCAGGACTATGGACAAAAGACATCTGATTTGACTAGCACATATCTGATTTCTATGAGAAGAGTGGCCTGTAATAATTTGGATGGGTTTTACCTCACCTTAGATATGCTTATTCTGTCCTAACTTCTCCGTCCAGAATTAAAGTATGTTTCCTTCAGAAGCAAGACAGTGAGTGTACAAAGCAGTGTTTGGCACGTGAAATGTTCCAATAAATCAGGTTTGTGCTAGATCCCATCCTCTCAAAGAGCCAGCTGGCTGCATTAAACCTCCATCTGAAAGGCCAGGCCACAGCAATATTTCATTATGTCTTGAGATTTCTCTTTGTTGCTGGCATTGCAGTTTACCAAATGAGCATGGAAATCAAAAGACAATCCCAAAGGTTACCTCCATGATGCAGGCAAGCTGGTCAACCTCATTTTCCCCTGGAAACAGTGGGTAGCCTGTGTAAAGCTCTGCTATGATACAGCCTAAGCTCCACATATCAACAGCCATAGCATAAGGATGACCAAGAATCACTTCGGGTGAGCGATAAAACCGGCTCTGGACATAGGTGTACACTGGACCAAAACAGAAAATTGGACAAGAAGCAAAATGTCATAATTTGGATTGAAATGTGGATTCCAGATATCACAGAAGAGTGAAATACACGTTCAGGCATCATATCTCTGCTCTATCCAGGGATTGCTCACAGAGGCTCTGAAAACTTGTTCTAATCCCATCCTAAAATTAATGGGTGATTTGCTTTCCACTGTTCTATCTGGGAATTGTTCTGATAATGCTATGATTCAGCTCGCTCCATGTTCATTGTCTTGTTTGAAAGTCTTCCCCTTGCATCAATCAACAGGTCTTCATTATCACTGCAGGAAATACTGGTTTCACTGACAGTAGGACCTATCTTCTACTGCCTTCTGATTTCCTATTATAGCCCCAAAGGATCTCATTCCAAGATTGAGACTCACTGGAGAGTAAACTAATTCTTCTACCTCTCGACATTCAGACAACTGAACATGATTAAAGTGTATAAATTTTGTTATTTTCTTATTCCTATCTATCTAAGAGTCACTTTGTCTATATTCCTGCCTTTCTTTTTCCAGCTGAGAGTCTCCTCAGTCATTCTCCATGTTTCACTTATTTTGTGTTTCAGTTTGTTACTCTCCGCAAATATTCCAGGCTGCCTCTCAGACTACATTCTTCTCAAACATGGGCAAACCTAAATGGATTATGCCCTCCTACAAAACTGGGATGTAAATCTAAAAGTCTGAATCCCAAAATATAGATTAGCAGGTTTGGCTTAGCTTAAATATCAGTCTTTTATAAGAAAAAAAAATTAAGCCATTTAAAACTAGTTTTGTTTTTCTAAGTTAATAAAATGCAATGCAGATGTCCTTCTTGGGGTTTGTTTTTTTTGTTTCATTTGTTATTTATTATATTACTTCTCTTCCTGATGATGATATCGTTCTTACTTTACAAGGTGTTTATTGTAAATCAAATATGTCTATTGTAAATCTGTTGAGATTTATTATTAGGTTAATTTTATACACTCATTTCCTTTTTCAGATTTAGTTCTTGTTAACTCCTGCTCATTCTATTCAAATCTTTGATAGAAAAAACCCCAAAACTGAATTTAGACTTTCTAAATTAAAAGCACCGTTCCCATTCCTTTCCCTTGTTGTATTTATATAAAAAGTACCAATTATAATTTAACCATCTCACTGAGAAAGAGTCTCTGTACTTCACAAACTTCTGTTAAGTGAAATATTTGGATTATCATCATAGGTCTGTTTCAGTAACCACTCTTGCAAGTGCAATTCTGATTTCAAAAGGAGTAGAGGAGCTGATCAGGTTTGGGACAAAGAAAAAGCAGGGTAATGTCTTTTTTGTCTCCTACCAGTATTTATTCCATCACCAGTGGCTTAACCACCAGTTCATTAGGTTCTAATTAGGGGCATAGGTCAATATATTAGCCCAAGCAAAGTTTAACTACATCATTTAAAATTGAGAAAGCTTATTAAGAAAATTACATCAACTTGACTTTTCTGCAAACCTCTTTGGTCTTCATAGCAGCTTGATCCAAAATCAATAACTTTAACTGAACCTTGGCCGTTGTGGTATAATAGAATGTTCTCCTAAAAATAAAATCACAGGGAAAAGAGGGTTTTAACACCATATTAAGTCAGTGAACACTGGAAAATGAGCAATGCAAATCACTAACTCAAGAATATTTGCACTGATGAGCAAACATAACCTATTAGCTTCCTCCTGCAGAGTTGAATATTAACCTAATTGAAAAAATCTATCTATATCAAGGATTTCCTTTGATTTCCCTTTTGATCATACATTCTTCTCTACTTGTCAGAAGAGAGATGGCTGCCTTTATCAACCTTTATAACAACTATATGTCAAAGCTTTGAAGGCCTGAACAGTTCCCAGGTGGGTGCCAAATAATGACAAAGTGGTTTCTTGGCTAATTAACTCAAAAGGATATGTGCCAGGAAGGAGAAGCTGCTAATGATGAAAGTCAAGGCAAGGACTGAATTCCACTACCCCGATGCTCTTGGTTCTTGGTGCATCCCCCTTCTGCAGATAAATATCCCTTTGTGCTCATGGTAAGACTCTGTCTCTAGTATTGAATCCCTCACAATTCCAGGGAGCTGATCAGCTGGAAAGCCAGGCTTTGGAAGCAGTCATTAGTTAGCTTTAAATCCAGAGAAATTCCGTATTCTACCTTATGTTGTGAAATATCACAGGAGGCAGATGGGATAACAGATGTGAGTTTCAGGCAACGTAAATTAAATTCTTAAAACTGTACAATTGTTGAGTGACAAGAAGATTCTCTTTTATTTAACTCACTAAATTTTCACTAATGTTACTCTGTTTAAATACAGACTACACTAATTGATGTTGCTGACCTCAGTCCTTCTCAGTGGCCACCTGGAAACACATTTCCATTGGGTTAATTGTTTCTGATTCAGATACTTCGGTTATCTTGCAACCCTCACTTCTCACTGCAGATTGATCTGGCAAAGATATTGGCAAGACAATGGGTACAGACAGTATGTGACTTGTCAGAATTCTGAATTCAGATACGTTAAGCAAAGTGAGAACAGAACTTCATCCTTTGCATTTTTATTTGAGAGCTTGCTTATTGATTTAGTGGTTCATTTGTCCCTTTGAAAATGAAATCAAGAGAAATATTTATCTGAAATGAAAATAAAGTTAAAATACTTCGGGAATCTCAGAAAATTGCAAAAATTTACGGTTGGGGCTTAAGGAGAATGGAAATGCTTCATGTAGCAGGAATACTTAGCAGATCCAGCTGCAGAATTTGGATGGCAGATGTTCCTCCAGAAACAGGTAGATACCCTAAATACTGTTCTACAGAATTCCTTTGTCATTTACTAGGCTACTTAATTTTATAGTTAGGCATATGAAATTAAATAGACTTTACAGGATAACAGGCTGCCTTGTGAATATTAACATTACAAAGTCCCTCATAGCAAAACACTTAATTTTACAAGTATTTTTTTTCTCTAAGCAAAATGTCATTACCTGAATTGGATTCATATTTGCATACATTTTGGCTACCAAACAATCTTGTCTAATACTTCAGTGAATGAACTGAATCAATGGAAAAAATCAGCCAACTGTAGTACTAATACTAACACGAAAAAATTATAGCTTCTGTACAAATATCCTGCCAGGTTTTATGGATTCTTCTTAGAGTTCCTTCAATAAAAAGAAAGGTAAGATGAACTAATGTATTCTGTACAGAAAAACAGGTTATGAAATGCTTGTACTTACAGGCTTCAGATCACAGTGAATGATTCTTTCCTGGTAGAGCACTTGTAAACATCTCAGCACACCCCGAGTGAAGTGTCGGATTAAAGACAGACTGAAACCTTGGAAGTTGTTCTTTTTGATCAGCTCATACAAATTTATTCTGTGGAGATGGAAGAAACAGAAGACAGAAGGCAGAAAAGAGATTAGGGAAACTTATTTTTAAGGCATGATTAGTTTCCACTGCATTTAGAGGGTATTTAGCTTTTCTTCTTACATGAGGGAGGACTCGTGAAGAAGAAAAAGACAACTATTTTCCTTCTGGAGAATGTGTTCTGCATGTAATATGCACAAACATCTCCCACATCTGAAGATGTACTGTCAGTGTGTCAGAGACTGAAACGGTTAATGATTTATGCATTCTAGGAGACTTTTGCGGGCTTTTGACTTTTGCATTATACCTCTGATGGGCAGTTGGGCCCATCCCTCCCTCCAGTGCTGAAGGTGTCAAGCCCTGAAAAGGCAGGAAGAGCTGAGTTTACCATGTTTGTTGCTGTGCCCCTCAACTCTGCCATCGTGATTGCTAATCACGAAAGGCGGGAAAAATATTGGGGGTTCATGGCACGGCCGGTGACACTAGTCCATGGAAACAGCTCCCTGCCTCAGGGGAGGTGCAAAAGCACGCTGAGGGTACATATATTGACTGGTGACTTTGGGGGTTTGGGTTTTGTTCTTCTCCCCCACCGCCTGCAAATCGAGACCATCACTTTCAGGATTAGCAAGTGTCATCGCTGGACCCCATGGGCAGTGACTATATATGTTTTTTCCACTCTCATCTTTTCTTTTTCCTTGCTCTCCCTTACTCTTATCCTGTCTTTCTCTCCCCTATGCATTTTCTCCTCCCCCCCAAAGGTTATCTCTATGTCACATTGTTATATGACAACACCCAAAATGCTAGCATACCTGTTGATACAAAATTGTTAAAATAAACCTTCAGACACCGATTATTCAGTGTTGTTTCACTCTAATCCACCCCAAGGGAATTATTGATAAGAACCTGGGTTACCCCCCTCCCCTTTTTCTGGGGCGGGTTACGTAACACAGTGAACTTTCCTGCTTGCTAAACTCTGTGCTATGTTGTGCAGCTGTGCTGATTTTCACCAAGAACATTCAGGAACTGAAATAAATTTTCTTCAGTCTCCTTTCACCCTCATTTCTCTTTGCTGTGGTACCTTCTGTAAATCATCTTTCTCTAAAGATCTTTAATCAGCAGTAAATATTTCTAGATAGACTCCTTCATAAATTCAGGTCTTGTTAGGTTTTTGTATGCCTCCTGTGACCATCATATCTTAGCTCCTTCCAGTGGGGCTTTAAATGAGTTTGCTGACTTCTGCCAGCATGTGAATGCACAAGGGCCTGGAGTGACAGGAGAAGGGGGAATAACTTCACACTGACAGAGGGGAGGTTTAGATTGGATATTAGGAAGAAAGTCTTCCCTGTGAGGGAGGTGAGGCCCTGGCACAGGTTGCCCAGAAAAGCTGTGGCTGCCCCATCCCTGGAAGTGTCCAAGGCCAGGTTGGATGGTGCTCTGAGCAACCTGGGCTAGTGGAAGGTGTCCCTGCCCATGGCAGGGGGATTGGAACAAGATGATCTTTAAGGTCCCTTCCAACCCAAACCATTCTAGGATTCTATGACTCTATGAAGTACTGAGTGCTTAATCTGTGATCATTTTTCAGAGGAAATGGCCACAGGGCTGGTGGCCCTTAAAGGGATGCACCAGTGTTTCCTCAGCAATATGATCTCAGGAGGTGTCCTCAGCACGACCCCACGTGCCTGGAAGGACATAAACAACTGCAGCTTTCTGTCTTCCCTGCTTGTGTGCCCACTGGCCTCAACCAAGGTCCTTTCCTTTGGATCTGAATTTGCCAGGACTTGACAGAGAAGGAAGATCACAAATGAAAGGCTTTTCACTATGTTTTAAAGGCAATAAAAATTTTACCATACAAACATTTTTCTATGACAACCAGTCTTCAACTCCTCTGTAAAGAGTTAAACATAGTGTCTGTCCCATGAATATTTTCCTCTGCGTTTCCATAGCAGCTTTCTGAAAAGACTGGTCTGTGTCTTCTCTGGAGAGGAGTCAACTCTTACCCCGTGTGTCTCCAAGTGACAGACTCACATGTAACAACACAATTAATTTAGGTTTCTTTGAGATCAAGCCATCCATAGGGTGCTGAATCTTCATCAAGGCTGTAACACATGTAGAAATGAGGGCTCTACTGTAAGGGATGGGGAACTGTGGATAACCTCCATAATTCCAGGTTAATTCTCTCATTATAATGAGGTTGATGACTAAAATTACCTGACTTCTCTAAAATTTCTCCAAAATTCCTCCTAAGATGTGTCTTGCAGCAAAGGTTCATCAAAAAGCAAGAAGGAGCTTTATTTTTAAATTATTTGATATTATTCATATTTATATACCCTGAAGTTTACCAGTCCTGAACTCATCATTTTACTCTTTTCCTCAGAGGTCTTTCAGGGAAGAATACTTCAACACACAGCACAGAAAATAAGGGATTGTATCATGTCACTGTCTGTGTGAAGTCTTTTTCAGTTCACCTTGGGTAATCAAAAGGCTCAGTGTGTGTTCAGTATTCCTTTCTTGCAACATGAAGAGCTGCCAGTTCTTCAGAAGAAGACATAGAAATTAAAGCTTGTAAGGCACAAGGTCTAAAATGCTCTGTAAGGTGTGTGTAAAGGAAAATGTACTTTACCCCAGCAGTTCAAAGGAAATACAGAAGTGGTTGCGAAAGTAGAAGTATTCCTTCATGTGGATGATGTTGTGAGTATCATCTTTGTCTTTCTTCAAGAGAGCATCTAGGATCTTCACTTCCACCAAAGCCTGGCTGTGAAATCTGAAATACCATGTGACACAGGAATGATAACATTAACTCAGTGTAGTATTTGTAGAAATATAAATGTTACAAACACCACAATCTTACTGTAAACTCAGCATGTGGGACAATGATTAAAAATGTGTCATTTACCCCTGATAACTACTGTAATTTTGACTCATTATTGCTGGTTCCTAGTCTTACATAACACTTAAGGGCTGCTATTTTGACTGGTCTGAAAAAGCCCTTAAATGAAAAAGTTTCAAATGAGCATCCAGAGTAAATAAAATCCTGGTGCTTTCAAAGTCCATAAGAACTCTTCTGTTTACTTGAACAGGGCCATATTTCACACCTAGCACAGTCAGACAGTCAGTTTTGAAGAGTGTCTTTACATTTAGTGTTCACTGAAGGGGGAAAATGGAACAGCTAAAACTCTGTTGCTGGAGTCAACAGCATCATTCTCATCTGCTTCATTGACTCTGGTTCAAGGTAACATCAATAAAAAATTTGTGACCAGCCATATAAGAAGAAGAGGTTGCTTAGGATCCACGGTGTAGAATTTTTCATATTAAAGCGAGAGAGGGGAGCATCCCAGCATATTCCTGTGGTTTTGGGGTCTTGAGGGGAAGTGAAGGTTCTCAGCTCTCAGTCATTCAGGGCTGGTTACCTGGGCTGTGTGTGAACTGTGTCACAGATATAGAGACCTCCATGTAAGCCTGGAAAAACTGTGTTTGCTTTCGTAGGCTGGGTCTTCTCTGGGTCTAGGCCAATTCTGAGTCCCTGACATCCCTTTTCTTCACTCTGATCTCACTGCATTTAATGAAAACCTGTTGTATAGGAGGTTTGATTTTGCTTTGCTCACATCACTGTGGTTTGTCACTGCCTATATACAACACAGACGATTGTGCTGCTTTAAAGGCAACGGACACCTCACCTTTTCTTATTCCTTATTATTTTCAGTGCCACTAATTCATTGGTTTTGTGATCCAGGCATTTGGCCACCTGCCCAAAGGACCCTTTCCCAATGACCTCCAACACTTCGTATCGATAGGCAATGTGGTCATGTAAAACCTTCAGAAAGAAAAGAAAAGGGTTCAGATTCAAACAGCATAGCAAAGATCAGGCTTTAAAAGTAGCTCCTGTGTGTGGGAGTTTGCTGTCTATGAAAGATGATGGACCAGTAGCAAGTGAAGTCTACATTAAACAAGGGTTTAATGAGAAAATCACAAGTGATGCTCCAATAGTCCAATGCAAAGTGGATTCTCCTCTGAGCTTTGAAGTGATTGGTAATGATTTTTTCACATTTATCCTCTAGAAACAACATTTATCTCATATATAACACTTAAGAGTTGGCACACAGTCACTACAAACTTATTGAGCTGAAAATAAAAACCATGATTTTTCCACTTACCTTTAAGTAGGAACCATGCTCATCATCATAACAATTATTATTCTGGGTTTCAGGCAAACCTTCAATCTTTTTAGCTTCCAGGCCAAGAAACCATAGCTCTGTATAATTGAAAATTTCTTTTTGCTCATAGACTGTTAACTGGTTTCTAAAATTTTTCAAGGCTTCTAAATCAGAAAACAAGAATGTAAAAGCAAAAATCAATAAAATGTCAGAAACCCAATTGCAAATTGCTTTTACAGTGGAACATTTTACAGCAGAGCACACCACTTTGAGCAGGATGCTGAGAAAAGCTGTTAGAGGTCCCTTCCAACAAACATTCTACAATTTTGTACAAATTTATATATAATTTTTATTTGTTTTTTTACTAAAAATATTACGTTCAGTAAAGCATTCCTCATTTGTCAGCAAGACTTTTAGAGAGCTTAGGTAAAAACTACTTGATTCTGAGGGAAGTTATGTGCTTAGGTGTTTTTGAAAATCCCATCTGTTGCCTGTCAGATTCATCAAGCTTCGTAGCTTGCATAAAAAAGATATGTTTTTAATGGTTTGATTGTCATATTTATAAAATGGCAGTAAGGTTTAATTTACCAAAGCTTTCAAGTGCTTGTTTTTCTGATAAAAAATATCAAGTTCACATGCATTAGGGATTACATGGAGACCAAATCTGGTTCTCCTACTTCTGATTCTTCCTGCATGGAATCATTTCAGCTGCCCTAACACCTCCACTTATATCATTTAAATGTGGATATATATTCAGACAGGAGCATTATAAATCAACATGTTGCATGCATGTGTGGGTGTTTTGTTAAACAGTGGCAGATCTTCATCCAGTAATGCAGGGCTGCTAAACCATTTCAAAGCAAAAGGCCACTACTTTTTTTTCTTAGACTCCTTCTAAAAGTAGATTATCTCTGCCAGAAACTTTCTAGAACTGAGAACTCCCAAAATGCAGTTTAGCCCACACCAATAAAGTGGGACACAGCCACCAGCAAGTGGGAAAAAGTTTTATCACTGTAATAGAATATTGCTGTCACCTCCATGACCTACTCTTACACAAATATACATTCTTTTGTATAATTCATAATTCTCTCCTATATTTGTGTTAGCCTATTCATTCTCTTATTGTGCACATATTTAGAAGTCTCTGAGCCCATCCATATTCCTCGTGCTCCAAATTGTTTGTTAAACATTCCAGTAACCATTTCTCATGGAACCTCTACTCCCTGAGTATCCTGATTGCACACACTCCCTGTCACTCCAGTTTTTTTAGCATGTCCCGTTATATTCTACCTGAAGCTGTCATAGGCAGTTTGACCCCGTTGCTGGTGCTTTCCAGTTCTGATGGTTTTGTCTGGGCTCTAGTGTCACTTTCAGGAAGACTGTCTGGAAGGCTAAACTGGGAAAAATTGCCTTGAGGTCCATTTTCCTGCTGAGAAAAAAAAAAAAATTAGAAAATATATATTCCCAAAGACAAAGCTGCAAGATATTTATTTTGAATTTGTTGAGTAATCTCTCTGCAAATTTTGTGCTGAGACAGAACAAGAAAGCCTGGGGACCAGAATGTCCTGCTTACCCAGAGAGTGAATCCTGCCAATAGCACTAGAGGGTATTAGACCATGGAAAGATAAATCTCTATAAATAAAGGAATGTGTGAGGGCAGAAGTGCTAGAAGAAATTGCAGAAGAAAGGACATACGGATGTCACCTGTATCAGCAGGTGACCAAGATCCCAGCACACACAGGTTCTCAGGACTCCCAGAATGGGAAAACAAAGAACAGACTACAGGATTGAGCCATGAAGAGATGAAGGGGATAAAAGAGCACCAGATAAGCAGATAGAAGAGTCTGGGACAAGGATGCTGGATATGGGGGTCCAGGTCATGGTCTCTTCAATTCCTTCACTAAAGGGAGAAGACTCAGCTGGAGATGCATCCAGTGGATCCATACTTAGCTGAAGATACAGGGAGGATGGATGGATACATTCTATGGATATAGGACAAAGAACAAGAATGTCTGAGCAGAAACAGAATTGATCTGATGAAGCAGAGCAAGAGTGTCTGCAAAGAGCTTTGCTGGCTTAGTGAAGGAGGGTTTTAATGAGGCACAGCAGGGAAGAGTCATCATAACCTAAAGGCTTACATAGTAATTCAGTCACCCCAGTACGTACTGATGTGCAAAATCATTCTGGGAGATTTTTGGACCGTGTTCTTAATGCAGGTGACCTGAGATGAGCTGCTGGACGAGTTACTCACATACAAGACACAGCTGGTTGAGGATGTGAAGGTCAAAGAAAGGGCAGCTTTGACTGCAGTGACTTTGTGATTGTGGAGTTTAAAATCATCAGAGAAGTGAGACAGACAAACAGAATTACAAACCCAGTGCTTCAAGAAAGCACCTTATGGCTTGTTCAGGGATCTCCTCATCATAAACCCATGGAAGACTGCCCTGGAGGGCAAGGGAAATTAGTAGAGCTCATTGCTCTTCAAAGTCAATCTCCTCAAGGCACAAGAAGGGTCCATTCTAACAGGCAGAAAGTTGCACAGACATTGCTGAAGGCCAGCAGGGATGGAAAGGGAACTTCTGACCAAGGGCAAACACAGGAAGGAGAGAAAAAAGGTGGGAACAGGGATGGGTTATCTGGGCAACATGCAAAAGGCACCAGCTGAACATGCAGGCAGGATTGGGAAAGTCAAAGCTTAGCTGGAATTGCAGTACATCACCAGCAAAAAAACACAGGCTAAGGGAAATGTGAACCTACTGCCCAGTGGAATATGGGTCCTAGTGACCAAGGATTTGGGAAAGAACAAGGTACTCAATGCTTTTCATTGGGAATTTTTGCCCTCTGGCCTCCCAGGTCCCTGAGTATAGAAGCAGTTTGTGTAACAAAGTGGAGGAAGATAATCAGGGAGCACTTAAGTAGCTGGAGATACCTATGTCTGCAGGACCAGGTGGGATGTGCCTGAGGGTGTGGAAGGGGCTGGCCAGTGTCATTGCAAGGCAGGTCTGTATCATCTTTGGAGGTCCTTGGCAATCAGGAGCAGTTCCTGACCATTTGGAAAAGGCAAACATCACACCTACCTTAAAAAAGGCAAGAAGAAGACTTTAGGGAACTACAGGCTGGTCACCCTTACCTCAGTCACTTGGAGGGCTATGGGACAATTCCTCATGGAAACCATTTCCAGCCAAATGAGAGACAGGAAGTTGATTTGGAACAGCCAGTATGGATTTGCCGAAAAATGGTGTCTGAACAATTTGATTGTTTTCTCTGATGAAGTGACTGGCTTGGACAATGGGAGAAAAGCAGTGGACATGGTAGGCTTTGACTTGAGCAGGGCCTGTGACACCATCTCCCACTGTGAATGTGAAGCCCGAAATGTGAGAGATGAACTGGATAAATGGATCATAATGTGAATGGAAAATAAGCTGGAAGGTCAGGTTCCAAGGACTGTGGTCAGTGGCAATTGGTTAGTAGTGAAACTCCTCAGGGATCAATAGTGAAGGCAGTGCAGTGTCTTTATTAATAACCTGGACCATGGATGAGTTTACCCTCTCAAATATGCAGACCATAGCAGGCCTGTCATCCAGAGGGATTTCAGCAGCCTGGAAAAGAGGGCTACAGGCATTTTCTAAGGTTGAATGAAGACAAATGCTAAGTCCTGCACCTGGAAAGGAATATATTCATGCAACGGGACAGGCTGGTGGGCAACTGACTGGATGCAGTTTTGCAGGGAAGGGCTTGACAACAACCTGAGCATGAGGTAGAAAAGAAGGCCAAACAGATTCCAGGTTGAATACAACAACCAAGAGAACAGCCAGCAGCAGGGTGGGAGAAGTGATCTCCCCCTCTATTCAGCATTTGTGAGATCACAGTGGGAGCATTGTGTCTAGTCTGGGGTTTCCCAGTACAAGAAAGACATTGACCAACTGGAGTGAATTCAGGAGATGGTCAGGAGCCTGGAGCACAGGATGTACAAGGAGAGGCTGCAAGAAATACATCTGTCCACCCTGCAGAAGAGGAAGCTTCAGGAGGGACCTCACTGCTGTCGAGACACTTGACAGGATGGTACAGGGAAAGCAAAGCCAAACCCTTCTCGGGTGCACAGTTCTAGGACAAGGTATGTGTCTAACCAATACAAGTTGCCATACAGGAAAAGCTGATTAGATATTAGGAGAAATATTTTTTTACCGTGAGAGTGGTTCACTATTGCAACAGGTTGCTCTGAGAAGCTACGGACTCTCCAACCTTTGAAATATTCAGAGACAAGCTGGTCAAGGCCCTCAGTAACCTTCTCCAAGTTTGATCTGCTTGTAGTGGGAGGTTGGGCTAGATATCTCCCAACCTAAATTATTCCTTAATTTTTTTTTACTATTTGTCATCCCTTGAGAAAGTCCTGATGACTCATACAAATGGGACGGGATGGAGATAAAAAAGATCAGCCTATCTCAGTGTCAGAAGGGTACAAAAGATGTATTCAATAACCAGCACATGGTTGCCAAGACAAGAATGCAAGTGATGTGATACGGACTAACCAGTGGGCAATCCTGGGCCCCTGTGTCCTTGAGAGAAGTCCTGACTGGTACCACTTTAATTTGTGCATCTTGATGCTGGTGAGTTTTGAGTTAAAAGTGTGCGCAAGCAAAAATGTTTTGGTTTTTTTTTTTCAAAATGAAATCGTCTTTCCGTACTTGTCTCTAATTTTCCTATTTTTTTTTTTTTTTTTCAGTATTAACTGGTACAAAAGCAAGGCAACACCTGGACAGCTCAGGTCTGTGCTGAGGCAGGTATTTTTATCCTGCTGAGCTGCATCTTAAAAACTCCCCTCTCCCCTTTCCAACACACACTCCCTTAATTCAGCAATGCTGTGTTATTTCTAAGGAAGGGTAAACAAAGAAGGTCCCCAAAACAGAAAGCACATAATCATGCCATCCAGACTAAAATGTTTACTGTCCCCTGGCATTTCTAAGCCAAGGAAAAAGGCTTTCTTACTGGTATTTACACAACTTCTTATATGAAGTCCATAAATTCCATTTAAAGAATAATAATAATAATACAATCCCCTCTGTAAAATGCTTGGCTCCAATCTTTTCACAGCAAATAAAATGGAGGGATGGTTTGTTTCCGCATGCAAAGGTTAATCATTCAGTTTTGCAGAAGTTGAGTGCAGATTTGATTTAGGAAGGGCACAGAATTAAGCTTTAAAAAAAAATTTAAATTATTTTGAAGACTAACCTGTTCCCCTTTATGCTATTTTGTGTCTTGTAGCTTTGCCCAATGACACAATTGAAATAACTGCCCCTAACCAAATGAAATAATTTTTAGTAGGAGCAACCTGCCAATTTGAAACTCAAAGTATTTGATAAGACTCTTGACCTCCCAAACAAAATGCTTTATGTGGGGACTTCCAGTGAAAGAGATTTGAAAAGACTTCACATCATAGCCCCATAGAATCTGTCAAAACTCTTAACAAAGAGACTCCTTTGGAAAAGAAAGGTAAAAAAGGTAGTGGTGATGAGTAGTGCAAGCCCCTGATTTGCTGGGGAGAGAAGCAGCAAAGGAAGAAGAGTACAGACAGGACGGACACAGGATTTGTGAAAAACAAGGAGAAAAAAGGAATGGTGAAAGTGCAGATGATCTCAGAACCTTCCTGTTGGGTGTCCTTTAAAATATCTGACATTATAGACAGCCGTGCTGGTTTGACTTTTTACTTTCTGGATGACTGTTTACAGTTCTTACTTTCTTTTTTCCCTTTTTAACTCTGGCTGAAAAGAGAAACTGGAGCAAAAACTGACACTAAATGATTTCTCTGTTCCCCCACACCAGCGCTCTTGTGACACTTTGCCACTGACACTCCCAGTGGTCCTTAGAGAGAGGCTGTTTAACCAGGCCAACATAAGATGTCCAAGAGCTTTATAACTCACCTGAAGAGAGGAGAGGACACTCTGCAAGCTCTTATTTGCTATTTGAGGCAGGCTGCCCTCGAAGGGGGGAGGGTTTGCAGAGTCTGCAGCCAAGTCATGCTTTGCTTGACCTTCCAGATGTGAGAGGGAGAGAACACCACGGCTGACTCTCTAAACGGAAAGCAGAAGTAAATATATATATAACGACCTAGCAAAGCAATTCTGTGTCACACCTACAAAAAGCAGAGGGGTTTCAACCTTGGGAAACGTCTGTAGTTCGCTCCTGACACCTAATGGCAAAGGGGAAACGAGCACATGTGCTCTGGCAGCTCCCGGTTGTACCAAATGGCAGGAGGAGATTGTCCGGGCAATTGGGCAGCCTGGCACATTTTAGGGCATGAGCTTCCTCACAAGAACACCTCCATGTGTGCTTGTATCCATTGGAATAATCCAGAATTATCAGCCTTTCCTAACCTCTCCCATTTGTTTTTTGCAAAACACTTCTATGCCACTCATTATTTAAAGCCAGCCGTTTAAGGGCACAGTTTTATGAATGTTAGAACCTCCAATACCCTTGAATATATAAAGTCAGAGAAATCCCACTTTTAGCAGCAAAGAGAATTTTTGAGGTAGACTACTTCTTTGGTAAATGATTAAAAAATTATTTGAAGTAGATCAACTCTGCACTGTGAAATGCAGAAAAAGGTCCAGGGAGCTGAGGCTACAACCCTTATAAACCTATGAAATTTTTGTCATTGGGCAAGGATAGAAACAGGTTTTTCAAGCTTTGACAACAAAGGTGAGGTTTGATCTTTCCTGAAAAAGCAAAGAAACAAAGCTCTCAATCCAATCAACTTCAGTGAGAAAGTGTTTTATTCCAATACCATGGATAAGTCTTTAAAACCATAGAACTTAGATCCTGGTGGACTTTTTCTGAAAGCTTCAGGAAACCAAAGTGATTTGGCAGAAGAAATGCCTCAAATGCTACTGAACCCAGCAAAACCAAAATAGTTGCAGGCACTTGAGACAGTCATACGGTGGAAATGGAAGAAAGCAGGGAATAGAGGATTTGTCTCTGCTCATATTCCTTTATTATAAGGGGTTTCTTAGAAAACAAGCACTCAGATATTTTTGAAGTCAGTTGAAGAGTCACATACCTGATGGAAGACTCTGTTAGATCCCAGCTGATCTCTCTCTTGAACAGCCAGTTGAGACTGAGAAAAAGCATCCACGTGGGAAGACTGCAAACATGAAGTGATGCTTTAATAAAAAACTGTTCTGGAAAAAAAAAAGTCATGAAATCTCAGTATGGTTTCCATGTTTCCCTCCTTTGTGACAATGCCTGTGCCAGTGTAGGAGAGAGGACCACAAAAGCTGCTGAAGACACATTATGGTCTAGCAATTCCTCTCCCAGTTGAGCAGCTGTTTTGTGGGCAGGTGCAGAGACAGCTTGCTTTGTTATTATTCCTCTCAGAAGGTTTGATATGCTCATGTGGTCAGTGAAGGGGAAGGGGGCCCTTCCCATCCCTAAATATGTCCTCAAAAGCTGGCAGTGAGTCCTCTTGGAAGGACAACTTTAAATTGCTCCACAAGGTAGATTGTGAGCTCATCCACTGTTAACAGCAGAATTAAACTGATTCAGCTCGTGATTTAAACACAAATCAATGTTTAAATTTACTGAAATATATGGGAAAAACTCTACTGGTTCCAATGGACAGATATTATTAGCAACAGATACAAAAAACCAAAGCCATGGGGAAAGTGCTAAGCAGCTCAGCATTTTTAAGATTTTGCTGGTGCTTTCAGTAGTTTTTTAATAAATATGATAAGTAGCATTGCACATTTCTGTCCAATAGCAAACTGCAATGAAATGCAGAAATCTTTACAATAATTTAGATACTGAAAAGTCTTGTGATAATTTAGATACTGAAAACTCTGTGGCTAAAGCAGTTTGGAGCTCTGCTCTATAGGCTGTAGTGAACCTTATTGTGTTTTAATAAAAGTACTCTCCTGTCCCTTGGACTTTGAGACACATTGTCATTCTATTCATAGTGAAAAAAAAAATCACCTTTATGCAAATAGACACACCAGTTCCACTACAGAAGTTGTAGAACAGCAACATTTTCTTGAGAAACAGAGGAACTCTAGAGTTTCAAGAGAACAAATACGCAGTCAAAATTATCTTGTGGATGTGAGCTGCAGATTAAAAATACTTGAATGAAGCAGCATGGTATTTTTCTTTATTTGTTTTGCAGCCAGGCCTTCCAGGGCCTGTGCCTGTCACACAGCCTTAAACGGGCAGAGTACCTGCTGCTGATAAAGTCTTTGCTCCTTGCAATGACTTTTAGCCTATCCAGTGCCACTGTCAATGCCAGGGGATCACTTTTATATATATAGATAGGAATAAAATCATAGAATCATTGAATCATTAAATCATAGAATGAGTTTGGGTTGGAAGGGAGCTTAAAGATCATCTCGTTCCAACCCCCTGCCATGGGCAGGGACACCTTCCACTAGATCAGGTTGCTCAGAGCCCCTGGGTTCAGGCATCCACAACTTCTCTAGGCAACCTATGCCAGGGCCTCCCCACCCTCACAGGGAAGAATTTCTTCCCAATATCCAGTCTAAACCTCCTCTCTGTCAGTTTGAAGCCATTGCCCCCCATCCTGTCACTCCAGGCCCTTGGAAATAGTCTCTCTCCATCTTTCTTGTGGGCTCCCTTCAGGTACTGAAAAGCTGAAATTAGGTCAGCCTGGAGCCTTCTCTTCTCCAAACTGAACAATTCCAATTCTTTGTGTCTTTCCTCCTAGCAGAGGTGCTCCATCCCTCATCATCTTGGCATCCCTCCACTGGACTCAGTCCAGCAGGTTGCTCAGGACGGATGGTACATCCATCCTTGGATATAAGTTTGGATTAGAGACCTTCAGAAGACATTTCCAAGCTAAATATGGAGATAAAACTCCATGAAGGAGATGCTGCCCTTTGACTGTCTCACCATCAACCCTGAAGACACCACTCGAGTTGGGCAGAGCAGCTGGAAACTGCCTTTTGAATAACTGTGATGTTCACGTGTCCTTTCTTTTCATTTGAACACAAATAAAAAAGTCCTTCCTCAACCTTAGAGGGTAAATTTAGGATTAAGAACAAACTGAGAACAGCTTTGATCCTTATTATGCTAATTAGGTACAGCTTGAGAGAAAGGGTCATGGGTATCTCTGAAGCAGAGGAGAACGTAAGGAAAGGGATGTGTACTGAGACCTGTCTTTGCAGGACACAGTAATTCCCGTTTTTGGAACTGGAGATGAGCTTGCCAGGGGTAAGGGATTATATGCTGTAAATCCAAAACATTCCCAGAATCACCAACATCCAGAAGAGAACCACTGGACTTCTACAATCCTACGTGTGACTGTCCCAGAGCCTAGCACAACAAATATTCTTGGGTGGATTTCTAGAGGTGACCTATGGAAAACCTAGTGCCAGAGTATTTTTATTGAAAAACACTCCACATGGAAACTACATTTCTTGCATTTCGAGTAAGAATTGCATGTTGTGAAGGTGAGTCTGGCATGCACATTCAGAACTCTACCAGGTATATCAATATAGCTCTTAATAAGACTATTAATTTTAGTGCATGTTGTACTTTTCCCCCCACTTCATCCATACTTTATTCTCATCTAGCTTTTATCTTCAGTTTCTGGAGCTGATGAAAATATACCAATTCATTTAGAGACAGTTTCTTTTAACTACTTCATGCTTTTGTAACTACAACTCAATATAAAGCCAGGATTTTAGAGAGAAACAGCTGTGACTGAAACCCAAAGAAACAGTGGACTTTGCATACCTGTACAGACTGCAGAATCTTCACTCCAAAATGGCATTTATTTCTTTTAAAAGGCTAAGCATTTCTAAAATATTGTTAAATTTTTAATCATTATTATATTTACTAACGAAGCATGAAAAATTCACCAAATGTCTTTAAAGCCCAGTAAGAGCTAAGGAAACAGGCAAATGAGCTCCAAGATGTGCTGCCAGAATTTGGAATCCATTTGATTTCAATTCAGTGGGGAAAGATTAACAAGATTTTGATTTCTCCTTTCACACTGCAAAAGCAAAATCAGTCCATCCGGCTATCCATCAGCCGGGACAAAAAAAGCCATGATTTTTTTATCCTGGAAAATTGTGATTCTTTTTGTCTCTCTTTCTCAAAACCTGGTTGTTAAGGGTTTATAGCTCTCCATTGCTCTTTGAGCAATTTATTCAAAACATCTTAAAATCAATAACTGATCAACCCTCATAAAATTCCCCGAGATAGTTAAATAGGATAAGATTTTTTTCTGTAGAAAAACTGATCTGTGCCTGCTGGTGGCTGAATGGGGAGCAGGTGGATTGATCAATCAATCCACACAGTGGCTTATTTGATGGTCTTGATCCAGGTGACACATTAGAACTGCTTTAGCAAAATCCTGCACTTCTGGTACAGGGTCCACAGCTGAGCTGTTGTGACTGGTTTAATTCTGGCACATGCACCTCAAAGAAAAACTGCAGCAACTGTTACTATTCCACTCCATTTCATTCTGTTCGTCCTACTCCCATGGCACTCAACCTGTCCCACAGCTCCAGCATTGCACCTCAATTCCAAACTATCAGCTCCTGCTATTCCAGCCCTTCAAATCATGGATCACCTTGATAATTCCAGGTATCACAAAACAAAAAGAACAATGTCCTCATTCACTGCCTAGTCTGCAGTCATAAGGACTATGTGCTGAGCATATAGCATTCTGGAAAATCAGAAATCACGATATATTTTCATCATTCCCAAAATATCAGCTGATTTTTTCAATACTACGTTGACCACAGAAACCACAGAAATGCATTAAACTTTTAGAAATTATAAAATACACAACTACATAAAATATAGACTCCATTGTCTCCTCATTTAAATAGGCATTCTCTTCTCTCTGTTCTCACAACTGAATAAAGCCTGTAGAATACATGGAAAGAATGCAGTATAGGTGTCCAATCATGCAATACATTAAAAAGCTGTAGCAAATACACTCTCACTCACTCAAAACACAGTAGGAACATAAACATTTTCCCCACCTTGTCAACTATTTCTGTCAGCATAACTGCAAGATCTGTTAACTGGAGGATAGAAGTTGTTTATTCCATTCAACGAAGGCATTTCAGGAAGCCCACCTTCATCTAGTCAGAGCATAGCAGGAGCAGTTCCATACACAGTGCCCTGATCAGGAAAAAATGGATAATGCTTCCGCTTGGCTTCAGATTTAAATTTTCACCCCGGAAATATGCCAGTGACTATTAGCTGCTCTAGTATTCTTTCGGTGGCCATCTGTTCCCTTTCTCAGCCTCCTTCTAGCCAAATATAATTTTCCATATTTATCATGGCAAGTCAGTAATAAGAAAGACAAATATAACAGGATTGGCTGTTCTACTTGTCATCTCAGTCTGTTCTTTCTCACTGAGCTCATGTGCTTGTGAAACCAAAAAACACTTGAACTTGTATTTTGTCAAAATTTGTCACAGCGACCTCGCTATGCAGTGAGCAAAATCTTTTCAACGAGACTGACAGACTGGAAAATGGAAATAAATTAATTCCTCAAGGGTTGGTCTCTCCTTGGGCATTATGTGTCAACTAATGAGGACCAAACTGTGGCACCTTGGGCTGTGGTTCCTGACGGCATCAATGCAGAGATGCTCTGTCTTGGGAGATAATGAGGCTCTCATTTTGCTGTGGATAATGAGACAGAGCTTAGCTGCCATCTTCTCTATCCTTTTCATCTTTTGGATGTTGTGCATGGGCGATGGAGCACTGATGGAGGCATCCCTATCTCCCCACTGTCCTAGGGGAATATCTACAACTGAAAATTCAGTGTGCTCCCTTCCTTCATACAGCCTGTTCCCTGCTGGTCTTAAATCTGTGAAAAACCCCCTGAATAGTTTCTGCTTTCACTCAGAAACCAAGGTTTTCAAGGAAGAAATACATGTTCACCCACAGAAGCTATTCTAGAAGGTTGCCACTTTTGTGGATGTTCCTGGAATGGGCACCACTTTCCACAGCATGGTCAAAGGAAAAACAGTTATTCCTTTGCATTCATGGTGGTCTGTGCAACGCCTTTGCCTAAAGTAATTGTTGAGGTGCACCATCTGAAAAGGCACATCACTCCCTTTTCCATCAATCCCCCTTTTCCACTCTTTCAAGCCTGGCAACACTCCAACAAATCCTCCCCAGTGTTATACACCTCACATACAAGAGAATCCTCTCATTTTCCAGCCGAACAACCACACAGGCTGTCATGCCACCAGGGAAGGCATGGACATCATGGAATCATAGAAGGGTTTGGGTTAGAAGGGACCTTAAAGACCATCCAGTTCCAACCCCCTGTCATAGGCAGGGACACTTTCCACTAGCCCAGGTTGCTCAGAGCCCCATCCAACCCAGCCTTGAACACTTCCAGGGATGGGGCAGCCACAGTTTTTCTGGGCAACCTGTGCCAGGGCCCCACCAACCTCCCAGGGAAGAATTTTTTCCTAATATCCAATCTAAACATTCCTAGGATAACCTATATAGACAGGAGTGAAGGATAGATCTACCCAAGCATTCAGTTGTTCCCCCACTAAGAAGAACATCCTCTACTGCCCCATCCCTGGAAGATCAGGTTGGATGGAGCTCTGAGCAACCTGGTCTAGTGGAAGGTGGCCCTGCCCATGGCAAGGGAGTTGGAACTGGATGATCTTAAAGTCCCTTCCAACCCAAACCATTCTATGATTCTATGATATTTTATTTTCTTTATTCCCCTTTTTGCAATGCTTTCTCTTCTCATTTTATTTTATTACATTCTTGTAAATGTATTCAAATTTGCTTTGCTAAGTCATGCAGGAATAAAAACAATCTTCAGGATGATTATTTTCTCATACCTGAAGAGGACCAACTAATTTTTGACAACAAAAGAAACTGAATGAAGTTTTCTCATACATTTCTCAACAATACTCTCAAAGCAAGAGAAACCTGCCAGGATTACTGCAAAGTCTCAGTCATGATGAAGTAAAAAGCAGTGCATAAAATATTTCACGCATAATTTAGAAATTTAAAATTTGAAGGAAATATGTATGGTCTTTGTAACTAATTTTATTAAAAATACCCACTTCTGAAAGGAATTTCATTAATGGAGCTAAGTACAGTGGTAAAAAAATTCCTCATGGATGTGATCACTAGCAGTGCTTATCACACAGACAACACCTTAACGACAAATTTATTAAGTTTGGCAACAGCACTGTGAAGTAGAATAGCATAAGTGGCAAACAAAATTAAAGAGATTCTGATGCAAAAAAACCCTTTCTGGAGTGGGAAGAGGATTCATTCCATCTTAGCTAAATATTCAAGATAAATGAAATTCCCCATGGAAGTGCCCTTGTCTTTTTATTGGCTTGGCTTGAGAAAGAACCTATGGAAATAATGTAGACTGGCTACCCTAAACTTTACATCCCAAGAAATAGATTAGATCAATTCTGCTCTTTATAGCATTTACTGTGCTACTCCTGCACTTCAGTGTTCCTGATCTGAGCAAGGGCAAAAGGCACAGAGGAACAATGAGCTGAGCACTGTCTCCAGCCCTGTGCTTTTGCACCCACACAGCCTTGAGCAGTGCCCCAGAGAAAGTCAAATGCTGCCACTGCAGGCTGAAGCAGGGAAGATAAATATCAAATTCCCCAAAGCAGTGTGAATGGAGTTGACAAAAATCTTCTTAATCCACTCCTGCTCCATTTGCTGTAATAAAGCACTTTAACTGTGTCAATAAGACTGTGGCAAAATCAGTGCAAAAGGAGTGGGTGATTTAAGGTTTTGCATACATTTAGTTGGGCAAAGATCCCACCAGATGAACCAATCAGTCCAAAAGTCTGCTAGAAATGGGAAAACCAGTCACAGTTTTCACAGTTTCTGGCTTCTTTAGAAAATGTCTTCCACTGAAGAGTGCAAAAGCTTGGGGTATGGTAAAATCATGATTCTAACATTTAAAATAATTGCTAGTAAGTTGGCTCTTTATTAACAATTCCTATCATGGTTAAGATCTGCTCTTTAACCTAGCAAACAAGAAAAAATTTATAATGCTGGTTCTAAAAGGGCTCAAAAGCTGGATAAGAACCATGAATGTAATTTTACATAGGAGGGAATTACGTGTAGCTAAGGATGTAATTACCATAACTCTTTGAGATAATTCCTAACATCTGAGCAAGGGTCCTCAATGGAATTCAAATAGAATTTGGGGATTTTCCAAACAGCTCTCTGACTGCATAAAGCCACAAGGACCCCTAGCACCATCATCATTTCTAGAAAACAGGCTGGGCAAAGAAATGACAGCTCAGAAATCAGTGCTCCAACAGGCTTTTCTAATGCATCAATCTGTTCTTAGGACTATTCCAAGAACAGAAAACATGGTTATTCCTGGACTCCCAAAATGAAGAGAAATCACATGAGAAGCAGGAATTGGACATGGACCAGATAAGCTGATTTAAATTGAGTGGGGTGCACAGATGAAATGAAGCTCTGGATATGGTGAAAATTCATGGGCAAAAAAAAAAAAATAGTTGGTAGGCAAATGAATCACGGAATCATAGAATACCCTGAGTTGGAAGGGACTCACAAGGATCATTGAGTCCAACTCCTGGCCCTGCACAGACACCCCAACAATCCCACCATGTGCCTGAGAGCGTTGTCCAAATGCTCCTTGAGCTCTGGCAGCCTTGGTGCTGTGACCACTACTCTGGGGAGCCTGTTCAGTGCCCAACCACCCTCTGGGGGAAGAACCTTTTCCTGAGATCCAACCTAAACCTCCACTGACACAGCCCCAGCTGTTCCCTTGGGTCCTGCCACTGGTCAACAGAGAGCAAAGATCAGAGCCTTCCCCCTCCACTGCCCCTCGTGAGGAAGCTGCAGATGCTGTGAGGTCTCCCCTCAGTGTCCTCTTCTCCAGTCTGAACAGACCAAGTGACCTCCTGTGTTATTCCCTGGAAGGGGAAGCTGGAGAGGCTGGTCCAGGAGAATCAAGGCCCCTCAGTCCTTTTATAGTTCATAACTATACTTACTAGACACCTCCCCAGATACTCCTGACATCAGATAATCACCTATGCACTCAGATATACCTTCTGAATAGTGCCATCTGGGGAGGAAAACTAGGGGCATAATTTGACAACTTCATCACTTCTGAGGAGTTATACAAATATGAAATTAGTAGCTCATCAATGAATGACCCCTCATGTTGATTTTCCTATAGAAGGTCAGTTTAAACAAAATTATCAAATGTCAGCTTTAAACTTAGAAGCACACTTTTTTATAAGGCAGAGCTTTTGATTTCAGAGTAATGTAAATCACTGGGATTTCTATAGAGTATCTTATTTTTCTCTAAAATAAAAAATAGGCCAGCTGTCTACAATATACATATATTTTTAATAAGCCACAAAGCCTTTCATATAAACCTGAAGTTTATTATGAAAACTTTTGCAGGACCCTAGTTACTCTGGGTGTAGAAATTAATAATTTGCTTATCATTTATGCAGAAACCCTTAAGATACTCCTGTGACTTAAAAATGTTAAGTTTTTACCTTTGCAGCAATTACTGATGTTGCTTCCATTAAAAATTGCCATCATAGAATCACAGAATATCCTGAGTTGGAAGGGACCCACAGAGATCACTGAAGTCCAGCTCCTGGCCCTGCACAGGACAGCCCCAAGAACCCCACATCTTAATTCCACTTCTCCAAAGAAATTTATGGTTAATACAATAAAAATATCATATGGAGTTGATGGCAGATGATGCAACTCATCAAACTATCTTCTGTTTTCTAGCAGTTATCTTTCTATTCCTCACAACAGGTGCGTCACAACCTAATACAAACGTATGCACATCAAAGAATAAAAACAAATGCCAACCACTATTACCTCAGGCTGGATTCTTTTATTTCTTCTCACTCGTAAACAAGAGTTACTGAAGAAGCTGAAATCACAGCAGCTCTCATTGTTTCCTTCTTTCTTTCCCCACCAGGACAAAGCTTTTACATCTGTCTCCATTAAATTGTTCTTTTTGTCATTCAAATCTGGCACTAAAGTTAATCTAATCCAACCCGTGCCCCTCTGTGAATAAAAGCATGGGCTGATTGATGATTTTGATGCGTAAGGTGGCTGGAATCAAGTCCCATATTGTTTTACCACCTTTCCCAGCACTGACAAAGTCTAAATAATATTAAACTGAACTGTGGATGGTAGCAGAGCTGCTGACGTGCTATGAAATCTTTGAGGACTTAGCACAAGCACAACATGTTTGTCAATTGGGCTCAGCAGGATTGCAAAACCATCCCTTGAGGGTCATTTGCTTTTCTTTCTTCTTCTTCTTCTTTTTTTTTTTTATTCTTCTTCAAAGGATACAGCTTTACCTTACC